ATCTGCCTTTCCAATAAAAGTCATCCTTCAGTTTTACAGTTTGCAATGAACATAAATGTCTTGTGTGTATTATTTTTTTTAATTTTTTTGTCTGCCTTGGTATATGACTTTTTGCTTATTTGAGGCACCAGACTAAGAATGAAGATAAATGACCCTCAGCAATTCAATTAACCCCCTTGAACCTCAGTTTCTTCATCTAATGAAGGGGGTTAATACCTTTAGTATCTGTCCTACAGGGATGTTGTGAGATACATGGATATACAGAAATATTTACCTCTTCTGTCTTTGTTGAGAAGGCTTAGGGAGAGTAACAAGAACTGTTTATATTGATACTTCACAATTTACTTAGGGCTTCCTCTCAAAACAGTCCTGTGAGGTAATTAGCACATGTAGCAGTATTCGTTGTTGTTGTTGTTGTATGTGGGATGTGAACTTGTTATTTCATCTTTAAGTCTGAATTCTCAATGTGGAAACACCCTTCACTTATGGAGATCAGCCACTGACCTATAATTGATTGAGGCAATTGGGTTAAGTGACTTGCCCAGAGTCACACAGCTAGGAAGAATTATGTGTCTGAGGCCGGATTTGAACTCAGGTCCTCCTGACTCCAGCGCTGGTGCTCTATCCACTGTGCTGCCCAGCTGCCCTGACTCACTGGGCTATAATTTACAACCTTCCCAAGTTGCCCAGGGTATTGAGAGATTGTGACTTGCCCATCATCTCGAAACAGGCATATGTCAGAGGTAGGACATGAACCCAGGTCTTCCTAATTCCAATGCTGGCTTTTTAGCCACTCTGCTCTGCCACCTCTCATTCCCATTTCATAGGTAAGGAAACTGGGGGCTTAAGAAAAGTAAAATGACTTGCCCAAGGTCACATAACTAGTAATAGCCTAGAGAAGGTACAATGAAGAGAGTGCTTGCTGTGGAGTTAGAGGCCTTTGGGTAATAATCCTAGCTCTACCACTTATTGCCTGTATGACTTTGAGTAAGTCACTTCACCCGAGTCTGTTTCCTCATCTGTAAATGAAGGGGTTGGACTCGATGGCCTTCTAAGATCCTTGCCAGCTATACTCTATGATTGTGTTAGCCACACTGCCTCTCCTGCCTATGCTATGTCAGTCCCCATAGGACAGAAATAAGAATGCCTAGTTTGCTACATAGGACCTAGCATTGTATTCTGTACAAAATAGATGATTAATATGTTTATTACACAAGTATGACACCAAGTATGTATGTTACGCTGGTCATATTAAATCAAATATAAAGTCCTTTGGCTCTTAAAGGCCTTCATAACCTGACCTCTTCATACTTTCCCAGTCTACTTACCCTTTACATTCCCCATCCCTTACAATCCCTTTACACACCCAGGCATGTACACACACCTCTGTGATCCAGGGACACCTGGCCTCCTTACTGCTCCATCTCTGAGGCATTTTCACTGTCTGTCTCTTTTACCTGAAATGTTCTCCCTCCTGATCTCCTCTTTATGGCTTTCCTGATTTCCTTCAAGTCCCAATTATAACCCCACCTTCTAAAAAAAAGCAATAAAAAATAATTTTTTAAAACCCCACCTTCTACAAGAAGCCTTTCTTGATTCCCTTTAATGCTAATGCCTCTCCTCTGAGATTATCTCTAATTTATCCTCTATGTAGCTTGTTTGTACATACTTATTTGCATGTTTTCTCCCACGTTAGATTTGGAGTTCTTTGAGGGGAGGAACTGTGCTTTTGCTCCAGCACCTAACACAGTGCCTGGCACTTAATAATACTTATTGACTGACTAACTAATAATAATAACTCACATTTATAAAGTGTTTTAAGCTGCACATGGTGTTTTACTTATCTTATTTGAGTCTCACAACAACCCTGATAAGTAAGAGCTACAGGTGCCATTATCTCCATTCTACAGAGGAAGAAACTCATGGAGGTTCAGGGACTTGTTGGAGGGGGGAGTGGATGACATAGCCAGTAAATATTGGAGGTGGATTTGAACGGGTTATTCCAACTCCCAGTCCAACACTACCCACTACCCTATACTTTCCCTCTTTTTTTCTTTAGTTTTTTCATTGCTCAGGTGGTAATTGTCCTAATTCATTACAACCACAAAGGTTGAATACTTTGAAATACTATTGGGATAGTTGATTTCCTTGTGATGAGAAGTATCAAGCAAGCAAGGAATATTAATTATGAGTCTTATGCATGCCACTATCCTAGGGACTGTGGGGGAAACAAAGAAGTGTAAGACACAGTATTTGCCTTCAGTTCATTCATTCATTCATTCAATGGGCTTTTCTTAAATGACATGGCACATGACAGGTACTAAGCCCCACTGGGGATATGAAGACAAAAACGGATACAAAAATTCCTGCAGTCACAGAGGTTATATTCTATTAGGGGAGGTTCAAAGAAGTTTAATAATTTCCTTATCAAAGTTTAGTAACTTCAGGAAATGTATAGTATAGTTGGGAACACCTTCCGTAAGTCCGTGAAATATTATATAACAATGCAAGGATTAAATCACAGACCATCTCTTGTGTTATCCTGTATGAAGGTAAATGTCATAAATCATTGCCCAAAAAGCAACAGAAACTGAGTATTACAAGTTCTGAGACAAGATTGTCATCATTGTCATCATCAACAAGAACAAAAATTAACAGCCCTACTATGAGCTAGTTATTGGTGATACAAAGAAGTATAAAATATTATTCCTCTCCCCCCCCCAGAAGTTTACAATCTGTTGTCAGAAACAGTACATATACTTAAATATATAAAGTTATGCTAATTACCAAACAAATGTTTGAATAATAAAACTATACCTGCTTTAGGACTTCAGAGAAAAGATATAAAACTCTGGCCTGGTTGAGGAAGATAGACGGTTCACTGGCCAAGGTGGACTTTGTCCTGTACCTTGAAAGATTGGTAGGATTTATATAAGTGGAAAGGAAAGGAATGGTATTCCAGGGATGTGTGCAATCCCATAGGATATTTAAAAGACAATGAGTAGATTAGAGCAGAACATACCTGTGAGAAAGAGAATTTAGGTTGGGGCCAGACTTTGGAGATCTTTGAAGGCCAAATGAAAAAGTTAGGATTTATTCTACAGCCAATGGGGAGCCATTGGAAGCTCACAAGCAAGGGAATGATATGTGTGAGAGAATATTTTAGGCAGATTGATCTGACATTTGGTGTTTAGATGGAAAGCAAAGGGGTCAGTTAGACTGTTGTAATAGTCCAAGCATGAGATAATGAGGGCTGGATTGAGATGGTAGCAGTGGGAATGGAAAAGAAACGGCAGAGAAAAATAATACAGGATTGGAAGAAAGACAACTTGAATTAGACCTTGAAATCTGGAAGTACAGTCTTCTAAGTTGACACCAAAATGTATCATAATATGTACAATGTATATATCAAAACTTCACATTATTAAAAGGATAACTGGCTGTGCTTTGCTCCTTAGCTTCCATATTTCATTCTTCTCTCCTATAAGAGGCAAATATTCATCTTTAAGAATGTCTCTAGAGGCAGCTAGGTGGTGTAGTGGGTAGAGCTCTGGCCTTGGAATCAGGGAGACCTGAGTTCAAATCCAGCCTCAGACACATAACACTTACTAGCTGTGTGACTCTGGGCAAGTCACTTTACCCCAATTGCCTCACAAAAATTATGTGTGTGTGTGTGTGTGTGTGTGTGTGTGTGTGTGTGTGTGTGTGTAATATCTCTATAAAGTTTCTGCCAAGTAGAAGTACCATATTATCAAGTCCTTTGCATTATTACCATTGTTATTATTAAGAATACTCTATTATTAGTGTAATGAAGACAGTGTGTTTGTATTATACTTCCCTGAATGTAGGGAAGGCTACAGATTCAGTCTTAAGTGCTGAATTTCCAGGAAAGGATTCCAAGACCAAAAAATTCAGTCTTAGAAGATTACTCCGGGTAAATCTCTAAGCAGTGATTAGGAACTAAATGGACAATGTTGTCAAAGGGGATTTTAGCTCTCCTGTTTGTGTCAAGAGGGAAATTCCTACATATTTCTTTTAAAATAAATTAGACTTGGCATGTTTTTAGGGTCACCACTCCATTTTCCATTTTACAAAATGAAGAAAAAAGAGAAGAGAGTTGGAAATTGGGAAATTGTGGAGGGATAGGGAAGAGGAGAGAAAGAGAGAGAGAGAGAGAGAGACAGAGAGAGAGAGAGAGAGAGAGAGAGAGAGAGAGAGAGACAGAGAGAGAGAGAGAGAGAGAGAGAGAGAGAGAGAGAGAGAGAGAGACCATATTTAAAAAAAAACAAAACCCTGAGGCCCTTGAGAGGCAGCCCCACAAGCCTCCTGGTTATTTGGGAAAGGAAAAGAGCTGAGCAGTAAGAGTGAATTACAACTCAGCTTCTGTGCCTATATAGAGTCTCCAAGGCCATTTCACCTACTAGAAACTTTTTAAAGTAACAGAAATGTGGAAGGAATTACATCTGGTATTTCTAAGCTGATTGTGTAGCCAAGTGTTAGTAGAAAATGTTCAAAATGACTGAATTTTGAAAGAAATGCTAAGGTTATCATTAGTTCCCCCTAATTATTTTCATTTACATAGTTGATTAAATTGTAATTAGGATAGGAGATATTTGTTTTACTTTCTTTTTTTCTAGTTTCTCTTTTTCTAATGATGAGAAGACAATTCTTTTTTTTGTAAAACCTTTTAAATTTTTGTTAATATTCTGTAAGACTGAGTTGTTTTGGGAGTTTGCTATCCCTTATTTTTAAATTGATATTGACTGACAAGTAAAGTCTACAAGAAAAGGTGTTTTCTGGGAAAAGACTGCACACATTTTTCTCAGAAAAGACCCAATTACACAAGAGTTCAGTCCAGAACAGATATGCTCATTGGTCATATCTGTAGTTTTATATCAAACTAGTATCTCATCACATGGCATCTGGACTTTCACTTCCACTTTATTTTTAAAATAACTGTTACTTCCTGCTGTCTCCCTCATATTCCATATGACCTACAGATGGTTCTGTGAAGGAAAAGAGCTTCAGAACTCCCCAGACATCCAGATCCAGTGTGAGAACGGAGGTCTCCATACTCTAGTCATCACAGAGGCTTTCGAGGACGATACAGGACGTTACTCTTGCCTGGCTACGAATCCTAGTGGTTCAGACACAACATCTGCTGAAGTCTTCATTGAAGGTAAGGGGAAGAGAAATATTAAAATCTTCCAAGTTAAGACTGCCTCAGTATCCTACAGCTTCCAGGCTCAAATACTTTTCTAAACTATGACCATTTTAGCACTCTGTGATCTAAATCTATTTCCACCAAGCAAACAAATGTAACCCAAGAGAATGCCTTTGAAAGCCCAATACATGTGTCCTATTTTCCTCCTTTTGATCCTCATAATTTGAAACATTTTTGGTAACATTCCCATGGATGTACATACTACAAAATATCAGGAGTTCTTTTGATCTTTCTCTAGTGAATTCAAAACAAGGTCATACTTAAAACATAATGTCTATCAACTATGTTAAATTATAGAATGCTTGGTGAAGGGGTAGGGAGTTGGAGGATTCTAGGGATAGGCAGAAGAATTCACCATTAGATGGAATATTGTAATGGGTTTTCCTATATTTTCATTAAACCCTAGGCATTTTCCTCTCTTCAATTATGGCTCTATTGTTCTCTAAAATAACATCATTTTTGGCATAGCTTAGTATTTGTAAAGTAGTGAGGGGGTGATAACCTTGAAGGCAAAGTGTGGTCCATTAAATTTATTATATCATTTTATCAACAACAATATAATTCAAAACACTTGTAACTGACCTCTCTGAAAAGCATGAAACACTGCCTTACTTAAAAAGTTCCTGAAATCAGGAAAATCCACCACATAGATTGGTCCTTTGCCTGGTAATTGGTTGCCTTATAAAATTTAATAGTTAAAGTTCAGGAAGAAAAGGGAAGTCCCTAAAGTCACCATTACTTGAATTTTGAACTTTTCACCAGATAATTGCCCTCAGAGTTTTTCATTCTCTTTTGAAAAAAAAAAGGAATAGCAAATATTCAGAAATGAACTTATTTAATATCCTCATTTGTATATCCTCTAATACTAGCCTTCTAAGGTCAGGCAAGAAATATTTTCCTTCTAGAAATAACAACTGCCTTTGCCCAGCGTTTATGCTTGGCCTGTGCGTTGCGCCTTTAATAAAAGACTTTTTAGCTTTGTCCTGGGAAACCAGAGAGTGGATGTCATGTACTATCAATGAAGTCCACACATGAGGTTGAGAGATAGCTTGGGTATTGGCCTTGAGAGTTCTATAGGATAAAATGAACTAAATTATATTAATTCAAGTTGCTTGAAATATTGTTATAGTGTATATTATAGAATGCTAGAGAAGGTAGAGAACCTGGATTCACATCTTGGCTCTGCCACTTCTTAGGTGAGTGACTTTGAGAGAGTCACTTTCCTCTATGGACCTCTATTTCCTAAAATGAGGGGGTTGGTGTCTGGGGTCCCTTCCAACTCTTGATCTGTAATCCTATTATCCTGATGTCAGTCATCAATATGATGTAGCAGAAAGAGCCCTCAACTGCAAGAGTAATGATCTAGTTTTATTCACTTTTCTGCTAACTAGCTATGTGACCTCGACTAAGTCAAGCCTTTCTTGACCTAAGTTTCCTCAGATGTAAAATGAGGGGAAAGGGAGAAGAATCATACTAAGTCATAGAATCATGGATATCATAGATTTAGAGCCACAAGGGGATTTTAGAGGTCACCTAAATCAATCCCCTTATTATGCAGAGGAAGAAATTGAGTCCTAAAGAGATGAAGTCACTTGCTCAAGGCCAAACAGTGGCAGCACTGGTATTTGAACTCACATCCTACCTATGATTCTCCATCCAACAGTCTATTTACTGCTTCCGAAGATGACCCATAAGGGCCCTTCCAATTTCTGAAATTCAGTGAGATTTATCTGAAAATGGCTAAGATTCCTACTCTCATATTGCGACAAGAGCAGATATGAAGGACAGAGTCTTGAAATCATACATAGTATGACCAGTTGCCTAATGAATTAAAATGCACCAAAAGACACCTCTATACCACAGCTGTCAAATGGAAGCATATTAATATACCAACAGTAGACTTTCTTGGGCTGAAATTGATTCTACTGTCTTCTTCATGCCATGCCATGGCATGTGTACCTTTCTGGCCCTGGCTACTTTCCACTTCTACTTTTAGTAAGAATAATTATAGCAATATTATCATTCCTAGAATGTATATGTTAATCAATTGTCCTATGGCTCCACTCACCATCCTTACTATCACCAATCCAAAACCCCACTCCAGTGGCTTGTTGTTATTCAGTTGTGTCCTACTCTTTTGTGACCCCACATTTGTCATTTCCGTCTGCAGTGGATTAAGATAAACAGAGATTAAGTGATTTGCCCAGGGTCACACAACTAGTGTCTAAGGCTGGATTGGAACTCAGGTCTTCCTGACTCCAGGTTTAGCACTCTTATCCATTGAATCATCTAGCTGCTCACACTTCATGGCTACCACTCCTTTATACATAAGCTCATGGAAAGCAGGAACTGAATTTCTATTTGTATTTATATGTTCAGCACTTATCACAAATTCGTGGCACATACTAAGTGCCTAATAACTGATTTTTTATTCATTCATTTGCAAACCTGCTATGTTGAACTTCTTTATTTTTATTTTTTGCCTTCTTCTATAATCCTGAAGCATCCAGTATTGGTAAGTAGATTCAGGGAATCTAAGCACAGAGCATTTTTCATTGTTGCATCTAGTACTTCTAAATGAAAGCTAAAGACAGTCTGTTTTATGATGACTTGGAAAAGTCCATTCCTGTCCATCTATGTGTTGGGTCAGTTCCATACCTCCTGTGGTCCTCCAACAAAAGTATTCCCATGTGCTCTTTTCCACATGGAAGCACTGATCTGACTGCAGTTGCCAAACGACCATCAGGGGTTAGTGGCTCTAATCACTGTATACTGAGTTTAGACAGATTGAGTATGAAGAGAGTGGGAGGGAAAGGAGGAGAGGGAGATTGAACAATCCATCACATCTCTCAGGACCAAGGTTAAATGCCTTAGAAAAATGATTTAATTGGTCTTACAAAATATGCAAAATGATGTTAGACAGCCGACAAGGCTAGCATGTTAGAATCTACAAGTCCAATTATGTGAAATGTGAGAGAAGCATTGATGTTTCTCTTAGTTCTGCCCCATCACTCAAAGTGAAGACCTACTTTGCCATAATTTTCATGTTTCATTTCCGTCAGGGCTAAATTAGACTCAGATCTATTACCACTGAATTACTGTCTAAAGCACCTCTACCATTAGTGTGTCAACATAGAGTTGCACCAAATCCATCAGAGAGTATCAAGTGTGCCTTTTGAATTGGAAAACTCAAAAAACTCTCTAACAGGTCAAATTCATTAGAAACCTTATTTTTGCTCTACTTATAAAAGTCACTTTACTTAAGCCCTATTTCAGTGTCTCATAACTAAATGGAAGGAATCCTGGGTTCTTAAATACTGGTACTTTTGAAGGTTCTTGAACTGAATTGCAAGCTCTGCCAGGACACCCCAAGCTGAAAAGGCTTGGGGTATCAGCATGTCTGCCAGCTCCATGTTGTCCTCCGAGGACCAACCTAGCTAAGTTTGTAGGGGATCACTGACAATACTTGACCACCATGTGATGAACTGTTTTAGCTACAGAAATCCATTAAACAGTTGACTAAGGTGTGAAGGGGTGGCTTTATGAATAGATGGAAAGAATACCTAGGCCAAAGTAATCATAGATCTTTAAATATCTGTAGTATAAAATTCAGGCAGTTAAATGATAGGGAAACAAAATGCAATGAAAGATTGGGGAACCAATAGATATTACTGCAAAGCCAACCACAGTGCTTAGAAAAAAATTCAACTCCTTTTTTCAAATCAAATTAAGAAAAATGTGTTAAATAGAAACTCTCCACAAAGAAATGCAAGGCCCCTAAGATATTGTCTTATAAGACTAGTCTAGCTGGAGAGACAAAACCAAAAAAACTGGACACAATATTAATATGGCAAAAGTTAAATAACACTAAAAGATTTATATGAGATCAAGACAATAGAAATTATGAGATTGTATGTGATCATTTACCAGATAAAGTATGAAGACAGTAAATGCTGTTGGCACTCAGAGGCAAGTTACATTACTTTAATCAAGTATTTATTAAGCACTTTCTGTGTGATAGACACAGTCGCTATGTGATAGATAGGCATTGGGGATATAAATCCAAAGAAAGGGACAGTCCTTATTTTTAGTATATTTGATTAGGGAAGAAAACATGTGTATGTATAAGTATATACAGAACTGATATATGCCAAACAAATACAAAGTTAACACAAGAAAGGAAGGAAGGGCATTTTAAGCTAGGATGTTCAAGGAAGGTCTCATGGAGGTTAGATTTGAGTCCAGTCTTGTAGAGTAGGTCAGATTTGGACTGGCAAAGATGACACTGCAGATGAATAAGAGGCTTATCTGGTTCAGAACTAGAAGGAATCATAAAATGTCATCTATTCAAAACCCCTTATTTTACAGACAAGGAAAATGAGACCCAGAGAGGTTCAGAGACTTAAGGAGATGAACTGATATGGTATGACATGAAGAAAGGTGCAAAGGCAGAACAATTCAAGGGGTATATAACCTATGATAATTAACAAGTTGGTTGGCATCAATGGAGAAAGAATGAATTTATGGGTTTCTAACAATTGTATTTACTTGCACTGAAGTTGACTCCTTCCAGGGCAATTATTTTCCCACTCAAACTGGGATCATGAGATGGGATTATATGGCTTAAATCATTCCCATTGCTGGTGGAGCAAATTGGTACCAATGAAACTGCTCCCCTGGACCACAGTGGCCCTTCTGTAGAGCCTGAAAGCTTAGGGAGAACAGTCAAAAAAGATTGTTTAATGGTTATTATTTATATTAATAATAATATAAATTAATTTTATTTGATGATAAATGCTCTTACTAAGAGTAACCATTTATGTTTTTCCATGCTTCTGAAAATTTTGACATCATTTAGAGAATAAAGAGAAACTCTCAGATGATACGAATGAGGGGAACAGGAAATTATACTTACTGCTTCAAACTGAGAGGAGAGAATATACACAAAAGGAAAT